ATTCTGACTCATAACCACGCTATAGGGTACGAAAGAACTGCCCCCGGGGGTTTCCAAAACTCTCTATGGGAATGGAAAGCCTTGTCTTTCTCCTGTGGAGCAGCTGGTGATTTCAAACCGCTGATCTTGCAGTTGGTACCCACATACATAATCACTATGCCACCAGGGAACTTCCCCGTAGTATTAGAACCCTTTAATTTTACAAGATTGGAAAGCTATTTAAGTTATTCTAATGTAACCATCTTAAACTGAGATCAGGAAATGAACATTGAGAGCTAGTAATGTGAAAAGTTGTGTCCAACATCTTGCATCTGTTTGGGGGCCACCTTTTTTAAAATTAAAGAATCATAGGTGTAAAATCTTAGGTCAGTATTTGCTCCACTATAATGTCTTTCCATAAATCAAGAACCTAACGTAAATTGGGGTTATTAGACATTCCCAAATTCTCTGCTTTTTAGTCAAAGAACCAACCCCAGAAGTAAAAAAACAGAATTACAAATTGAAAATGAATTTTTATTGACTTTGGAGTATGAAAATTGTTCTTGTGATCATCAACTTAATCCTAAGCAAGGACATATGTTTTAAGAAATTGAACTATTATAAGATGAAGTATTTTTGAAGCTTTTTTACTTGCTAGAGCAACAGTTATTGGTGTCATGTTTACTGATTTCAAAAAAAATAGCTGATTTCAGTACCTAACAAGACAAAATGGAAGTCTTTAATATATTTAGAGGCTTTTTTGTTTTGTTTTTAACTTTTTAGCTCTCAAAGACATCTTTAATGAAGGCTAAATACCATATCAATTTTATCTGCCAATTTTGAGAGTAATAAATATGTTTGAGAGTAATACAAATACATATCTATATGATTAGTCCGGTTTGGCCAATAACAAGACATTATATACCTGAACAAAGTTTGAAGGCTTTCCAAGTCTATAATCTTGCTTCCACTTGGTAGAGCCTAGGAATCTAGTAAAAAAACATACTTCCTAAACTCAATAATTAATGCCTCATTACTTCACTTCTAACTCAAAACGAATGACTCCATGAGAACTGACTAGTAAACAAAAGTTTTTCTATCTATCATTGACTGTGATTGATAAGAATTATTAATCTGTTCTTTTAAAAAGCATTTATTAAATAATCAGTACAATCTAAGTTTTGGACACAATTCTGAAACTATAGAACATATTGATGTGGCTTTCAAGAAGATCACAGTCTAGTTAACAACTTACACCAGTACTATAATGACGAGAAGCCCTGGTGGTGCAGTAGTTATGCATTTGGCTGCTAAGCACAAGGTCAACAGTTTAAAACTACCAACAGCTCTGTGGGAGAAATATGAAGCTTTCTACTCCTGTAAAGAGTTACAGTCTCAGAAACCCATGGGGGCAGTTCTACCCTGCCCTACTAGGTCATTATGAGTAAGAATAAACTTGATGGCAGTGAGTTTGGTTTTGGTTTGGTGAAAGTAGAAGCTGAGTCAGTGTCAACCATATGGCAGTGGGTTTAAAGAAATCATTTTAACTTTTTTTTGAAAGAAAATGCATAGCATTTCTTATTATATTCTTAATGATCTGTGGTGGAGTGAAATCTCTTAATATGGCTCTTCTACCCTTCCACTCTGTAACTTCCACTTAATGATTGTGTGGGACTATGCAATTAGGGCATGTGTAAGACTAGCAAAAATGGCTCTAAGCATAAGCCGTCTTTCGAGCAGCAACTGAGAGACAAACCCTGAGGACCTTGGAAGAGCATGTTCTCTGTCTGAAGTGGCAGAGGCCACTGAGACCAAATTTATTAGCGACTGTGGCATGGAGACTCAGAGGAGCAGCACAGAGACTATAGGGTACCTTCTCCTCATCTGGCCTGAGACCATGGAACTGTGGGACAGAGAGAGAGGAGGAGTGGCTTCCAGGCCCATGGAGACAAAGCAAAGGGACCATGTGACCGAGAGACTGAAGACCAAAGAAAGACCTGGCTTCCACATGTCTGAGAGGCTGAGAATCCAAGAGAGACTTGTCTGCTGGCTGAAGAGGCCAATGACAATCCTTGCTGTTTGTTGATCCCCACTTGTGATAACCTATTGACTTCTCTAATAAAGCCCCTTAATTGTGATGATTGTCTGTGAGCTCTGTGTGGCCAGTGCAACCCAACACAGATGTGGAGTGGCATGGGAGAATTGGCTGATGTCAGAATAGGTAATGAAGGATAGAGCAGGAAGGCTTGTCTGACTTGCCTCATGGCAAGCCAAAGAAGATCAGATATGTCCACCTCCCTGGCTGTTTATCACAGACCACATGAAAAAGAAAAGTATAAGCATTTAGAATTACTGACCTCTTGTGGAAGGTCACAGATATCTCTGTTAACAGCAAGTTCTAGTTTCTGCAAGCTGGCACAGTTGCTTAGTTCCTGGGGGACAGTCTTAATTTTGTTGTAGCTAAGATTCAATTCCAAAAGTCTAGTGAGAAGTCCTACAAAAAATATAATACAATAGAGAGCAGATGGATATGAAACATTTTTCAACGATTAAATATTCCTTTTTTTTTTTCCAGTTTCACGTGATTCTTGCTCTTTCCCAGTCTTTGCCCAGCCCTTCAGTCAAACATGGCTCAGGTCTAGCAATGCTGTAGTTCCCTACCCCCTGTCATGTTGCTTTATCTGCGCTATAGCCAGAGAGATGGCCCATTGAAGGATTTCCATTCCCTGCCATGAACCAGTTCTCTTTCAGAGTTTTTGCTGAACCAGCAGAATTTCCAGAATTTACACAATATCTACAAAGAAACTT